ATGGTAGGGAGAAATGCAGAACAGACAGTGGACTTTAAAAGAGCAAACTCTGAGTTCATGCTGTCTTTGATTGTAACTGTGTGCTGTAAGTGGGTTGACGCTGTGCTGTTACTTATGAGCATTAGTAGGTGAATTTTGTGGTAGTTGTATTTAATTACTTGTATACTAGCTAAAACTTGTGTCCTTGTTTGCGGTATGCAGAGCTCTATAAGAATAATCTCCCGATTTTATACTGTGCGCGTAGTTTCACATGTCTGCTTTGTCCAGAAACATTTTGGGTTTTAAAATAACATCATTTTAATATTTGCCTTGGTATGTATTGCAGAATTAAACGTCAGGCTTCAAAAAAGGCTAAGATAGCCTTTTACATCTTTTAGTCACTGGAGCATCAAGCTGGTGCCTATGGTGTGTATTCCCCATGTGTGAATAATGTATATTAGCTAGCAATTTGCAAATTGCCCTCTTTAATACTACTTGAGACAGATGCTGTTTGCAAGTAAGAGGCTGACAAGTGATTTGATATTTTTTGCAAATGTGTCTTTTTCAAATAGTAGAATGGAGATGGAGACGGGCAGGTATGTGCCATACTGGAGAGGTGGTTCCCGTCTTTGCATATCATATGAAAGTCCAAGTGATGTTCTGGAGTCATATTTTGTCTTAGACGTCAGCTTTCTCCCAGTACTCTACAAGATATAAGCAAGTCATGTACTGTATATGATAAGTACAAGTATTTATCAGATTTTTTTCTCTATTGTTTACATATCTGTCGATAATAAACAAGGAGGTGAACCTCTGGCCAGCAAAGCTGTAGCTTGTATTATTTGAAAAAATAATGGTAGGCACAAGCCTTCTGCAAAGGAGTAGAATGCATAATACTGTAGTTAGTGCTGTATATTGAAGTGGATACTGACGGTGTTTTCTGCATCTCTGGATGTATGTAAACTGTGGTAAAGTATTTAAAAAATTTGAAGGAAGAAAAAGAGAAATTCTGCATCAGGCTGTCCTTTGGGTAGAGATGTGAGTGGTAGAGACCTGAGGCGGCAGCATGGCACGTTTTGCCCAGTTGCAGAGCTACTTTAGAGGAAGAGCCAAAAAGTTGTGTGACTGCAGGAGGTTTGGAGGGCTCTGCAGGTGTAGTGGGAATGCTGTCTTGGTAGACAATAGCCGTGCAGTGTAACGAGCCTGAAGATCCAAGACTGGGTTTAAGAAATCTAGATTAGGTACTTACTAAAGGTTGACAGTATTTTAGAGTAAATAAGTAATGAATGTTAGTGTCAGCTCTTAGCTTCTAAAATACTTTTTATTCCTAAACTTTTCTTTCCTACTAATATAGGAAGCAGAGTTTTTGGTTTGAGAAAGCTCTAAAATCACTGATTACTGCTGGCACAAAGTTGTGAATATCTTCAAAGTTGCACGTATAGAAGGTACTTGAACTTACTTGGTTGAGGGGAGACTGAGAGCTCAGTCTCTGTTTGAGATGAGTTAAAGGTGCGAGGCCTAAAATTTGAATGATTATGAGACCAGAATAACATATATTGAACTTCTCAATAAAGAGTCATTAGCATTAGACCAAGTGGATTAATATCTAGAAAGAAGGTGGCACCCAGAGAAAGTAACTTTGAGGTGTAATTGCTTGTATGTTGGAATTTCAGTCACTCTAATCATATAACGGTCCTCTCGGTGCTCCTCCTGAGTCTTCACCCTTGTTACTTGGAGTAACTTCAGTGTGCAGGGAAACCATGGTGGTGAAAACAAAGCTCAACGTTTGTTCTTTGATAAATTGAGGAGGTCTCTCGAGTTGGCAATGCTTGCTATGCTGCTTCTGGATGGAAGGCCATTAACTGTTGGATGTCAGGTTTTGCGGTATATTGTCTGAGTTGGTCCTGTTGCCTGTAAGGTGATATTCTTCTGCACAATGGAGATTTGACTTAAACAGAGCTTGTTGCATTCATTCGAGAAAAAATAGTAAAAGGGCACTTAAGGGGAATTTGGTAAATCACTGTGACCTGTTGCCCTAGTAATGCCTACAACAACTTTTTAAAAATTCCTGGGATTTAAGTTTATATCTAAGCAACAGTGCACGCTTTTAGTAGTTACAGGGTATGGAAAATAAAGGTCTGGTGGGCTAGCAGATAGCATATTTTTTGTAGGTTGCTGGTTGAAATAAGTGCCTTATCAATATATACTTGGTCAGAGAGTAGCTTAATGTATCGGGATTTGTTTTAATATTCTTTACAGCAGGCTCCCAGTCTTCTCTCTTTTCTAACTAAGATCATATGTATTGAAAGTGATCTCAGGAGGCCATCTGTTCAGAAACCTTGCTCCAAGAAGGACAAACTTGGTTTAGGTTGCTCAGGGCCTTTTTCAATCAAGTTTTGAGTATCTCCAAGCCATTGGGCCTTTAGCTATAGTGGCGTTGTACTAACTTGTTACTGCAAAGCAGTTCTCCTGTTTTGTTGTGACTAACTTTGTAGAGAAAAATCTTTCTAGCTATGGATGACAGTGCTGTGGAAAACAAATTTGATAGTTATGGATGGCTGCGTTCTTTGCATGCTGCTTGATGTTAATCTGTCATTCACCCCTTAATTGTAGCAGTCAGATTACCAATCTCTTATCTCGCTTCTCCATGTTTCATCTATATCTCTCACATTCCAACATGCATGCTACTTGTCTTTGCAAGCAAACATAAAACATGCAGCTAGGGTTTTAAAGACATATTGCTCAGTGGGTGGGATAGGACCACCCTGCTTCTATAGTTCTAGGCCTTGCTCCGGAAATAGTATGTTTCAGTCCTCCATTGGAGTTACTACTTTCATTTGGATCTTACTGCGGTTTAAATCTATGACTTTTTCCACTCTCTGGTTAATATATGCCACCTTGCAGAGTATTCTGTTATTGGAAGAGATACTGTTTTTGTTATTGAACTGTGTGCACAGAAGGCGAAAGGCATCCAAATATTTGTGAAAAACTTCAAAACCTAGAAATGAGAAGGAAAATCATACAGGTTAGGCATTTAAGAAGGAGGAGGGAAAAAAGCCTTTCTACTTCAGGTACTTGAAAAGAATGTGCCCTTTGTGCTTGTGAATTTTGTAATCTCCAATTTTTGCAACTTGATGTGTTATTGATGCATTATCTATGACAGCTGCATGGCCATACTCCTTGAGAGTCAGAAAAGTACAGTGTTTAATAAAGTATGTTGCCCTATTATCTTGCTGTCTTACTGTTTTTCTGTAGTGCTACTGTGAGGAATCCAGTTAAGGAGATTTAGAAATCATGGAGGAAAGTACTCAAAATGTCATTAAATCTCTTTAAATGCTTGAGATAAATTACTGTTTAATGAGAGCTCCCTTAGGTTATGCAGAAAACTGGAGAAAATACTGTATTTTAGTTCACTCTGTTTCTAGACTGCCCACAAAAGAATCCTTGATGGCAGTAACCAATGGAGTCTGTTCAGGATTCTTCTATACATAAATTGGATATTTGTGTTCTTGAGAAGTTCCTCTCCGGGAAGCAGAATGGAGAGCGCTGCAGACTTACAGACCTGTGATAAAATTCAAACAGATTCCTGGTAGCTTCTTGGAAAACTGTCCACAATGAAGAATGGCCAAGGATTTCTTTGTACATTAGCATCTGCATCTTGGTGAGTTTAATCTCTGTTCTAGCAAGTAGTGAGCACATCTGCCAGTGTGTAAAGATAGCACTTGTGTGTTGTGTAGAGATTATTTCACAGGTAAGTTTGCACGTGGGAGAATTTTGGATCTGTATTTTCCCTGCCAGGGGGATAAAGGAGAGGGATGTTATGTACTAGAATGGACCATTTTTAGGTGATAAAACCAGGAAATCCATAGAATGTTAGTGTACCCATCTTCATGATGTGGAGATAAAAATTTCATAGGCAACAAGTTGGGTTTTTTTAGGGTGGAGAGCCTTCTGCGTGTGCCATTGAGTGAAGGCAACAAGAATGAGGTCAATGCCATTTAATGAGTGTAATTGCCAAGAGATGAAGGAATTTACTGTGAATTGTATTGCTTAAAAAAAGCTGAGTGTTGCTCAGTGTGTTCAGTGGCCATCACTAATATAATCTTTCTAGATAACTTAGGAAACCTCCTTCAAACCAAACCCAGATGTTCTCTTGACCCTCTCTACCAGCTCAGGCTTTTCCCAGATGATCTAGGTATAAGAAAAGGCAGTTCATTTGTTGGAAGTGGATCATCTAGTGTGGTGTCTGATTCCACTAGCATTCATTAACTTAATCCAAACCATAGGTGGACCTCCTCGCATCCAGTTGAAATGTGAAAACAAAGCTGAACTTAGCTGTGGAGTATATATGCATTAGGCAGATGTTATAATTTGTAGGCTTTATTTGTGGTTTGTTGTTTTTTGGGGGGTTTTTTTGGTTGGTTTTTTTTTTCTAGACTACTTTTCTCATTATTTTGCCTTGCTATGAAGGATAACTGAAAATATTCTGGGATGAAATTATAGGAGTCCTTATCATCCTGAGTTTATATGTTGCTGCCATGTTCTTGCCTTTGCCCTTGTCTGTGGGCACTCTCACACTCTTGTTTGTTCATCCTGATACTTACTTGGTCCTTTGGTGATTTAGTTTGGCAACTAGACCAACAGAAAATGTCCTTACAAGAAAATAAATAGCTTTTGTTTGTTACATTCCTGAAGCAGGCTTACTCCAGGTTAGGACAAGTTTCAGGGGTGGCATAAGGGGGCAGGAGTTCTGTGGGAGGGAGTGGAGAGGGCAGGATGAGGCATGGCAGTGGCAGCTTGGTTATTTCAAACACTTACAGACCTGTGTCCTAAATTAAGAAGACTTAACAGAGGTTTTGGAGGACCCCAGAAAGATGCTTTTTTTTTTTTTTTTTTTAAATCAATTGAAAATACTGAAAACCCCCACCTTTATTCATCCAAAGGTTCTTCTAAGAATCTGTTTCGCAAGACAATGTGTGTCTTGCTTCAGAATACTGAAGAGCACTGTTTCCAGCTCTGGAATATTCAGTCTCATAGATGGAGCAGGTAATGTATTTGGAAGGATGATCTATTCCAAAGCACCAGTTTCTGAAAAGCCACCATCTCTGCCAGATGATGATACTGTGCTTGTGTCTGTCTCTTCAGTATCCTATATGCTGTCCTTCTGTGTTTACGTTATGTGTGTTTCTCAAGTCCCTGCAGGCATCCCCCCTTGATAATGTTAACTCTTACTTGGGAAAGCTGTTTTTGTATGTAGCACTCGACTGCTCCGTCAGAGAGACTGCATGTCCACTGGAAATCCTCTGCTGTGAGCGTTCCTGCTATCACTTTCTGGATGATTGTTTTCATTGGCATAATCTATCTATCTCAGACAAATCAAGTTAGGTCAGGAGCGAAGAATGGAGAAATGGGATAACACTGGTTAGGGAAGTAGGGAATTGAATGATCAGCTCAATGGATAGAGTAGTAACTGTGGAGTTTTGTTGTATTTGACTGCTGTAACTTGGTGTTGAGTGACAAGGTATAACTCAGATGAGATGTATTGTCTTTGAAAACAGTGTTTATGAGTGTACAGGATGATGGAAAAATGTTTGTTACTTCACAGGGGCAAGCAGTTGAATTCCAAGGCAATCGGGTTATTCTGCAAACTCTAGCAAGTTCACAGTAAGAAAGTCAGTGGAAGACCACTGAATTTTGCACTTTGTTGTACCTCAGTTTCCCTTAAAACAGGTTTTGGCATTTCAATATGATGATTGGTTTATAATCTTCTACCCAGATCGAATAATTTTGAGGGGATGTTGATTTTGAAATGTTTACTTTTAGCTTACGGTTTATATGTTGATTTAAAGTTGCATTTGGATTGCTGGTGCTCCCTCAATTCACATGATAAAACTCATTTAAATACTTCCTCTTATTGCTTCTACTATTTTGCATTTATTTTTGGAGCACTTACAAATGCATCCTGTACAGTTAATTTTCAGGTATTTGAATTTAGACTGCATTGTGAAATTCAAACAATCCTATGTTTGGAACCTTATCTGATACTAGCTTTCCTGTATAAAATCCTACTGCTCTGTTTGTGGTTTGCCATCACCTGTTGCTTGCTTTCTGTGATGTGTGTGTGTGCACACATACGTGTGTGTTGTGCTTTGCTCAGCCCTTCTCTTTGGGATGCTACATTTAACAGTTCCTGCCTCTGAAGCAGCAAGTTTACCAGGTGTCAGATCTCTAGCGTATAATTCCCGAGGCTGTGTCGTATCAGAACAACCCGCACTGTTTGTGCCTTCTAGCAGAGCTGGAATTCAAAACTGTCTCTTGTTTTGACTTCTTCAAGAATAAAAGTTTCCAAATGTACAAGTGGAAAATGATGGCATTATTCTGTGTTCGTATAAAATATAGATGGATTTTTAACATCCACTTGAAGTAGTCAATGGAAAAGTGTGTCGCTGAAGCCAACAGAGCTCTAAACCTTTAATTGCTTGATTATTTTATTCTATTTTATTTCTTCTGCTGGCTTGAAAATAATCTGAAACCTTTCATGAAGTAATTATTATATCCGTTAATTACCGCTAAATGCATGGGAAAATTAATAAGTTCTCTTTTTGTGAATCTGTTTATCCATCTATAAAGTGATTTACTTAGATTCACTTTCAGATTTCAGGTACATATTGCTTCCAAAATGCATCTTCCCATTCATTCGTTACTGGCAAGAATGCTTTTCTCACTAATTGTATTTCATACGTGGTAATCTTTAAAAAGTGGTCACATTTAGTATATTGGAGAAAGCTATGTGAGAATGAGTCCCACTTTGATAGAGCTGGGTGTTTTTACCTAGCATGTGATGGGAAGCCTGTGATAGTCAGCTTGCTTAGATCACAGAACAGAGATGTCTCCCTGAAGAAGAGCAGGAGGATTTATGTTTTCCCATTTTCCCAAAGCTCTATGAGAAGAAACTGGCATTTTGTTTGTTTAGTTACTGAATTAAAATATTAACTTTGATTTTGTAGAGTGGTAAATGAGAGAAATGATGGTTCAAATTTTTTTTCAGTGTTAGATCAGTCCTGTGCATGCTTTCTACTTTTACTGCTTTGGCAAAATGGTTTTGTTCTTTAAAAGAAAGATTTAAGTATTATTCATTATTAAATAGTTGCGTGAATAGCTGCAAGGCACTAATTCTGTTTTGGTTTTCACCAAGGAGATAACAAAGAGATGAGCCATGTTCTTTGTAGGAGTATCTCTTAATATTGGGAATGCATTTTTGAATCAGCTTACCTAACCAACAGCAAAACTGGCAGACGTTTTCAGGAGATGCAGAGTGTTATATCTTTGTGTGACTGAATTAATGAAAGCTTTATCTTTAATGTGCAAAATGTTTGGGGTTGGAGAAATGTATCGGAGACATTTTACTTGTAATTTAGTGGATAAAGCCTTTTTGTATGTTACAAATTTAATTGCTCCTTCAGATAGTACGTTTTGTGAAATGGCTTTTTATTTATTTATCTGTAGGTTCCTTCAGAGAAATCAGAATCCTTTGCATCCATGTTGAGACGCTCTCCTTTAATTCAGATGGGACCTGCCAAAGATAAAATTGCCATTGGCCGAATATTCCATGTTGTAGAAGATGATCTTTATATAGATTTTGGTGGCAAGTTTCACTGTGTGTGCAAAAGACCAGAAGTAGATGGAAAGTAAGTAATAAACTTACGGTAAGCAATTAACATATGTGAATGACATGCTGAAATGCTTAGCTACTGGGACTTGACCATCTTCTGAACTGAGCTTGGACAGTTTATATCAATTTTGTGGTTTAAACTATGGAAACTAACATATTGTGCAGAATGAAAGTATGATCACAAACAGATCTGTGTAGCTCTGGTGACATTGTCTTGAATGCAGATTCCTTTGCAAGTTTGCATTATTGCTATCTACATTATTCCAGCTTATCATGACCAGATGAAGTTACTCGGTGTTTTGCCACTGAGGAAAGGGGAAGTTGTTATCATCTGGGATGTTAAAGCAAGCACTATTTATTGAAATACTTGGGAATTTTGTGAATGTGGAACTTTAATCCCATGTAAATCATGAGCCTCCTTAGGCAGGAACTACGTATGCCAAATATATATACATGAGTTGACGTACTGGGGAGTTTACACGTTATTTGTGATAATACAGTTTGTAACAGATGATCAGTGCTAATAGGGCCAAATATTCCGTATTGCAGAATAAGTTTTCATATAGATTCTGGTGGCAAGTTTCACTGTGTGTCCTGAACTAGAACAAATGTGGTGGAACTGGAACAGTTATGCTGGGGAATGCAGTAGTTAAAGAGCTAAAAGATAAGCAAACAACACATTCTAGTGGAAATTGCATTTTTAAGCTTTCTAGACTGTCTTTAGCACCTTATGATTATGTATTATTCAAAAATATCTTGTCTATTTAACTTGTCTCCAGGTTGCTTTAACACTTAGTTTTTAATATGTAGGCAAAATACCATGGTTTTGAGTTCACAACATCAGAATATTTTAGTCCATCTCTTTCCATCTTTTTTTTCCTTGAAAGAGGAGAAGCATCTTTGTTTATCTGCAAAATCACTGTGTCTAAACTGTTAAATATGATTCTTGTGATAAACAGTTCTGAAATAGTTGATTTTTAAAAAAAAAAAGATTTAACAAAAATAATTGCGTTTGTGTGCAAGTTTGTGATAGTATTTTACCAGAACATTTGTATACTCAACTTCCATCTTTTGACAGGCCTATGACTTCAAAAGCAAATGTGATTGATGACCCAGGATAAACAGAGTCCTTTGTGCCCATCGCATTTGGCAGCAAAGATTTTCTTGGTCTTTTGCTGCTGCTGTGGTGGTAAATCCCTTTTTGCACTTTGTGTCTCTTGCTAATTCTAAATCAAGATGAGCTTTGCCTTTCCTACTCCTGTTCTTGCACACCTGAGGAGTGTTTCTGTATTCATCTGAATCTATGTCCGTTCATTTTGGTTTTGTGGTAGAGTTCAGCGAAGCTCCCTGTTGAGCTGAGCTAGCCTTCTGCCAGGCCCACTCGACTTCTGTACATTGGGGAAGACCCTTCTAGAGCATTGAAGAGTTTGTCCTTACAGATCAATGGCCTCTTCTGGGTACCTTTTCAGGTCAGGACAGCTTCTTGTCTACCCTGAATAAACCAAAGTGTACTGTCCTTCTTGCTTTTCTTCAGCATTTAAGCTCAGTCATTGGTGGTCACTGAAGCCAAGGCTGCCATCAGGTACCACGTTCCCAAACAGTTCTTTCCTGTCCATGAGTAACGTGTCCAGCAGAAGACCTGCCCTAGTTGGGCTGTTTGGCACCTCTGGCAAAAAAATGTCACGAGAGCACTTGCTCTGGATTGCTCGCTCCCTCCATGTTTGTTTCTGCTTGAGCAGACATCAAGGCATTTGAAGTCTCCTGTGAGAATCATCAAGGCCTGCAATCATGAGGTTCCTTCTGGGTGTTTGAATGAGGCTTCATGCACTCCCTCTTCCCAATCAGACAGCCCACAGCAAACATCCACTGTGACACTGGCTTTGTTGGTCTCCGCTGTGATGCTGACCTGTAGCTTTCAACCATCTCCTTGCATGGTTCATAGGAAGGCCCCATGTGTTTGTGCCCCTTCCTTGCTCACAGTGCAGCCCCCTTTACCTTGTACCATGTTTACTTGCGTGCTTCCTCCCAGGTTTGGGGAGCAGGCAACCTCATGCGTTGTCTTCAAATCCCTCACTACGATTCATTCACCTTGTGAGTGCTGAGCTCACCGCTTGCCATTTACTTGAGTGGTGGTAGTATCTTATTTTGTCATGGTGCTCTGGAATACTTGGGTGGTAAAATGAATTGGGGGAAAGAAATGACATGTCTTTGTAAAAAACCTCACAGGCAGACAAGCATCTCTCATCTTTCTCCTAGTGCTGTATGTCTTCTGGTGCACATTGCGGTGGTATAGTGGGAAATGAGGCCCAAGGAAACTGTTGTTGGAGCAGATGCTTCAGAGTGAGTTGGTTTGTCCATTGGATGCTGGGAGCATAAGCCTGGGGCTGAGAGGATCTAGACTAGTTATATTTTTGGCTGCCTGTTGTAATGATAAAAACAAGCAGATCCACATAAGTCTTGTTTATACTTTCCTCTTGCTGCTTTTGAGTGGGAGTGGAGAGAGGTAAATTAACAGCTTGGGCGTTTTTAATGAAATAAAACTTGGAACTAAAGGCAGTAGTTCATAAAATTATACAGACAGCATTTACAACATTGAGGATGTAGTGGCAGTGGAAGCAGTAGTCTTGATACTCTAGTGGACTTAGAACATTCATTTGAGATGTAGCTGACTGATTCAAATCCCCTTTCTCCTCAGTTCAGTCCAGGAACCTGAATTTGTCTCCAGCTTCTTAACTATATAAATGCTATATGGACTTAATCCTCCAAATAAAAATATTTTATGAGAAAATAAATAAATCTTGCCACCTTTTTCCAATTCATTGTGTTTCTGGAATTGCAATTTCTAAAATCTACATGGATTTACAAAAAATTGCAGTCACATGCAATCTTTTGTTCTGTCATTTAGCTTGTAGCTTGTCATAAGGTGCTGTGTCATATAACATAGTTGTACCAGTTCATTTCTAACTCTGACTTGTAACATGAAATTTGCAAAGTACTTGTGGAATCAAAAATAAACACGGAAAACTGCTACCTTAGCTAGCTGCATATGCTGCCAGTAGCATTCAGGTGCTGCTGAGTTTGGATCTCCCTGCTTATCAAAAAGTAGTGGGAAGACTTACGCCTTTGCTTGTACAATTGTGTTGATCTGCTTACGTAGTAAAGACAGCAGCTCATTGATTTACAGAGTAGAGTTTTCCTTATGAAAACAAATAATCTATGCTGGCCTCTTAGTAAGTGTGAAGGCTTAGAGTCTTTTGATGGACCCTGACTTCTCTTTAGAAGGCTTTTGATCACCAGATTAAAGGTCAAACTAGTGCTAGTGTATCTTCTGCCAAAGCTTGAAAGTAAGTGGGTAGAATTTGCAGTGTGTATTTTAGATCTCCACCAGCTTACATTGGTGACTGCAGTAAGACTTTGTTACTGTTATTTCTGTTAATTCACTTGCTGACGGATGTGGCTATGACCATATTGTACGTGTGTGTAATCAGTAGGACTGTTTACTGTTTTGTGTGCAAAATGTTTATTGTTTGTGCCAAGGAGAAGAATGGGCATTGCAATTTACAGATAACAGATGATTTCTTGAAGGCCATCACTTCAGGACAGAAGAACCATGTTTAATCTTCAGACATGGAAATTCATGATACCATTTTTATGAAGCCAGTCTTGAGAGCATGGCTCTTCTAGTACCTGTATTCTGATGCTGATCTTTGGGTTTATTGTCTTTTCAGGTATTTGGCAACTCCTCCAAAATATTAGTTTAGCATCTTTAAAGGATGAAACCCTCTCTCTTGCCATTTATGTAAGGAGGTATCTCCATGAGGACATGTGCTTTCGATATTTTATTTTTTTTTGATTTGGCTTTTTTCTCATCAGAACTCAACTATTTTCATGATACTGTAATACAATTTTCTTTTTCTTATATAACGTCCTTTGCTCTTTGAAAGTGCTAGAAGTAACTTGAAAAGAAACAAGTATCCTACAAGAGATTTTTGTCTGTAAAGCTTGTTCTCTTAAACTGCTTGGTCCTGATCCTAACAGTTGTGATTTCTTAGGATGTCCAAGTGAAAGACCCTGTAGTGCTACCACCATGTTACCGCCATAAGAACGGATTCCACCCTCAAGAATGTCTTGGGTAAAATAGCAACTACAAAAGAAAGGTGTCTCTCACTTGGAAAATTTGAAGTAGCTGCATAAACACTTTTTTTTTTTTCCATCAGTTCTTCTAAAGTAAACTTCAACCTTTAAAAAAACCGAAGCAACACATAAACAAAAAAACCAAAATACCACAAACTATTAGTAAAAGACACCTTAGAACAGTAACGATACAAAGTTTAAATTGAAGAAGCATTTGAAGAACCTGCTAGCTATTTTCTTTTGGATTTCGTTGATTTTTTTCCTTCTTCCTATTCTCTTTGGGTATATCGGGTTTGCTTTGCAAGGTTTTGGTAGCGGTGGGGCTGCAGAGGTGGCTTCTGTGAGAAGCTGCTGGAAGCTTCCCCTGTGTCCAACAGAGCCAAGGGCAGCCGGCTCCAAGGTTGACCCACCGCTGGCCAAGGCCCAGCCCATCACCAGTGGTGGTAGCACCCAGGATAATATGTTTAAGAAGGGGAGGGGGGGAAAAACCAAACCAAAACTGTGCAATTGCAGCTGGAGAGGAGTGAGAGGACGTGAGAGGAGCAGCCCTGCAGCCCCCCAGGCCGGTGCCGCAGGAGGGGCTGCAGGCGCCGGAGCAGAGATTCCCCTCAGCCCCTGGGGCAGCCCATGGTGGGGCAGGCTGTGCCCCTGCAGCCCAGGGAGGCCCACGGGGGAGCAGATCCCCACCTGCAGCCTGGGGAGGACCCCACGCCGGAGCAGGGGGGTGCCCGAAGGAGGCT